TATCGAAGAAGAACCACGTCCCCATTATAACGATATTTTCTTCCTGAGTTGCCTTCGCACGACGACGGAACAGTCGCTTATCTTTTTCTTAAAATAGAAATAGTCTGTACCAAACGTTTCTAGCATTTTGTATCCGCAAGTTTGTCTTAAGAAAGAATAATAAATCCATCGTCGTACGTTTGTCGAGCGTTCCAGGGATGAGCGTACACTTTTAACTCCCATTCTCCTTTCCTCCCAATCTGCGGATTTTCTACGATCAGCTAAAAAACTAAGTCGCTTGGAGCGTAAGTAAACCCGCGGTCTGTTCGATCCGGACGAGACACGAGCGTAATCCTGGCCGCAGGCGTTCGTTGCACGATCCTCGACGGTGTTTTAAAGCGGTTATCGCATCAGAAGTCTCGTGCACGGGCAATGACGAATCGGACTTTGTGTTTCAGGTGAACTGGTCCCGTGGGAGTTATTCAATCCTGTGGCGAGAACGGATGCTGTGGAATTCCAGTCCGAACGGTGCTCGTACGACGGAAGTTATTTCGCGTCTGAGCGCGCGACTGGTCGAACGCTTCGGAAGGAAAGCGTGGATCCGCTCGCAGAGAGATACAAGTGCTCGAAATGTTCAAAGTCTTATCGTTGGAAGCACCATCTGGCCGAGCACGTTAAGGCGTTCTGCGGCCAGAAGAAGGCCGAGTGTTGCCCCTATTGTAGCTACAGAAGCAATCGAAAGTGGAACCTCAAGTGTCACATGAAGAGGATCCACACGGACGTTTAAGAAGATCCTCCATCATCGTCGCACACAGACTATTGTTCGCGTTAATTTTGTACATCCTGCGCACCTGGAAAAGTATATACACGCTACGCAGATGAAAATAAACTTTTTCTTTTCTTTTCCGACAAATCCCGCGCCAGAAACAGGTTCGTATTCGTTTCACGGCTCGACGATACACGATTAACCGTTCGAACAGAGGTGTACAGGGTGCTTCAAAGACTGTACAAACGACTCCTGGTTGAAGGTTATCTCTTTTTATTTTTTTGTCGTCAAATATACACCACGCCTTCACTTCGATTCGAATCGCAAATTTAAGGGTAATGGGCTTGAATGTGACCCGAAAGACGGTATCCCGAAATCGTTCAGTCCATTTTGTGTCTTGCGGTGGAACTCGATGCTTACGAGAACTCGTTAAAGATAATGACTATTGGTTCCTGTTGCAGGACTCTATTATCAGAACGGAAGTGCAAGATATTTCAGAAGACATTACGGGAAATGCGAATTCGAGCACATGAAAAACGCCATCGAGGCCGTGGCCAGCGGACTGTCCTTGAGGAAGGCGGCCAAGCTCTACTGCATATCAAAGTCTGTTCTCCATCGTTACAGTAAACAGGGAATTTCCTCTCTGCAGAAGAAGTACGGGAAACATTTCTGATCGTAAAACCCGCGGAATCTCGAACGGGTTCGCTGTGATACCATGGATCCTACGATCCTCGATCAACGATAAAGCGCGAGGCTTCGAAGTCTTTCGAAGATAATATTGTAAATAAAATACGATTCCTGTATTAGACGGTAATGTACTGGCGCATAAATATATCGAATGTTGTTAACTTTACCGAGCAGAGCATACTTTCGTCTATTCGAGCTAGAAAGCGAAAATCGTCAGCCCGGAACGCTCCAGGAGACAGGATCATCGACAGGACATTCTTCCGGAAGGACAATCTTTTATTTCCAGGCCACGGTCGAGTGTTAATATAAAGGAAAAACAATCACGAGTTGCATGGTACCCCACGAATTCCTCCAGCGTTTCCCATTCCTAACAGACTGAATAAAGTACAACACTACATTACATTGATCTAATAAATAAAACGGGTAATCCCCGTACGTTACATTAATCTCGTAATACAGCGTATTATAAAATGCTCTGAATAGTCTCTATTTTGCGCCACTTACGGTAATCCCCGAACAAGTGAAACGACTTTGTTTCAATCGTATCTTTGAAAGAATATTACCAACGATGATATCTCTCTGATGTAATTGAATATAAACACCGTAGAACGAGAAGTAAACCCAACAATCAAGTCCTGGAGCGGGAATTCGACCTTGCCCGGATAAGTGAAAGCTCGTGGGCTCGTGTCGATTTCAGTTATCCGGGGATTACTGGGACGCGGAGTTGTGTAGAGCCATCGTTGGCCACGAATCACGATCCTGACGATTAATTCGCGCGAAAGTGTCCCGCTGGTCCACTGATCGTCTCTAATGTCGACTTCTTCTGCCTTTCGTGTTTTCCAGAGGCGAGGATGGAGTTCCTGAACTATCAGAAGGTGACCTATCCGTGCAAAAACTGCGGCAAGGTCTACAATTACTACTCCAGTTTGGCGAGGCATTTGAAACACGAGTGCGGCATGGAGCCGAAGTTCCACTGTCCGTTGTGCCCTTACAGGACGAAGCACAAGTCCAGCCTGACCACTCACCTGAACGGCAGGCACATGAAGCTGCTCAGCTAATTCCACACGGTCCCGAACGGGAACAAGCTGTCGTCTTCCGCGGACGCTGGAAACTAGTTCGCGATCGTCGAAAACGATTTTCCTCCCTTACCGGACACTCGGAGCGTTGTAACGTACGAATAGCCTCGAGGAATGCTTGTACCCGTCAACGTTACGATAGTATATATTTTTACAAACTTTTAGTTTCGTCCACGAAGTGCAATGACATCGAAAAATGCCTTTTTCGTTTCACTACACAGGCGTCGATGAAAATAAGGGGATAAGAGTCCGCTTAATGGCGCTCGTTATTAAACAGAAGACACGGTAGAGCCTCGATTGTCCAATTATTTTTTATATTTGAAATCATTTCTTTATATAATATTCTGTAAAAATTCGTTCGATTACGTTCGATAACCGAGGTTTTATCGCGTTCTACATTCGAGGCACCTCCTTCGTATACCGCCATGCGTATTAAATACCTGTAGCGTATTATAACCTTTGCTCGTAAGAGAAGTGAAGAGTAGAAGCGATCAGAGTTGACGTTCGTTTAGTATTCGCACGTAGAACGTAGATTTAACGAGGATCATCGAGTTTTAAGGATACGATCTGTCTGAAACAGCGAAACGTCGCGTGCACGGTTTCCCCGCAAGTATTAAAGAACCGTATCCGCTACCTGAATCCCGTATTAATCGCGGACAACGCTATCTCGTACGTTTTGCAACCAAAGTTTAATCATAGACGAATATCCTAACGCGTAGCCGAGTCCTATAACACAGTGGCAGTCTTCCAAGTCGCAGAACGAACGAAATCCCCCACGTCGGTACATTTTCCTCCTCGACAGTTTTACTTTGACGCGCGCGACCCGACAATAAACCATCGAAAGTGAAAATATTCGAACAGAATCGCGTTATGAGATTGCGTACTCTCACTGGTAGGTTTCTATCTAGAAAGCAACCGTAGCTTTTGCGTTTTCTGCTCCATCGTTCGGAAATCACCATTAATATGTAGTACACACACCTATTTAATAAAGTGACAACTGAAACCTTCGAATCCGGACTTTCCCTCCAAACTTTTCTCCTTTCGAGGAGATGTACGTGTCCTCGCTCTAGTTTTCCTCTGCGTCGACAATACGTGGCATTAAAATACATTTGGAGCTGGTAGAAAATGTTCCGGAGACGACAGTTCCGAAGGATAGCGATTTTTGTGAAACGTGTTTCTTATTTTTCCACTCTGGGGGAGAAACCACCCTTTCTGCTTACATTTATTATTATCATTAGATATTGAAAACTGTTTTAATAGAAACATTACGACTTTTATTCGAAACATCGTTCAATATCTTCTGTAAATTGAGGGGTGGTATCTCCCTTGGACTCGAGAAATAACAGCCACAGGAAAATCGTAGTCCAACAGTTCCTGTCTCGTTCAACGCAGGTCAAAGAATTAAAATCTAGAACTATCTAGAATCTAAGAATCTAAGAACTACAAATCATAACGCGTTGACCAAACATTTTCTGCCCGGTTCGACGATTGTATGCCCCCGGGGAATGTCCTTTTAGAGACTGTCGTCGAGGAGGTTCGAGCGGAGGATAGGATCGAGTTCCAGGTAACGCGCGTTAACGACGCCTTAAAGGAAATGTCAGTTCTAACCGTTCGACCATCGATTTCAGAGCGAAGCTGGGGCCGTATTCAGAGGTTCCAGCCGTTGGCTGGCCAGGAGAAAGAGCCACGTCCGGAGACAGCCGCGACAAACTCTCACGGTTTCCGGTGTCCACGTTGCGGCAGATGGTACAAGATCAAACGGTCCCTGAGACGTCACCTCGTGGTCGAGTGCGGAAAACTGCCCCAATACAAATGTCCGTACTGCCAGCATCGCAGCAAGTACAAGACCAGCATGTCGAAGCACGTGATGAGCATTCATCCGAATCTTCCTTATCCGTGAAAGGTTGTTGACGCCGATCGATCGCCACCTCCATTTCCACCGTTATAGGATCGCCAGCGAACGAGCTGTGCGATCGATCGAACCGCTGGTTCAATGTACAGTTTCTTTTCCGATTTTAATCGAAAATATACCTCACCCTGATATACGCTAAGATTCTTAGTACATACGTACCCACACGCACCGGAGGATCGAAGGATCGAAGCTGCGAGCAAACGAAATCGTACATTTACTTGGCTGTTTCGACGAACACGCGTTTTCTTTCGATCCTCGATTATAGTTCACCGCTTGTCACGTAAATGTGTACGATAATTAAGTCTGCATGCGACCGAAACGCGCGTGATCCCACCCCGTTCGTTTCGTTTTACAGACCGTGGAAAAAAGTACTTTTCGTTTCATCCCCCATTTTGTCCTTGCTTGAGCGTATTTCTTTCTTCTTATTCGCGAGCACAGTTTGCCCGCACGCTTTACACAGCGGTGTACGATTTAAAACCGTTGCACACGAAATGAACGACGACGATCCTGAGGAACGACCACCGCGATCCCGGCACTGACACCACGATTTAACCCGTGACTCTTTTCCTCGTGATTGCAGATTACACGAAAATGAAGTGCTTCGTGAGCCGGGTGACGAAGAACCGACGGAGATCGCGCGGCCAGGGGCGATTCGCGTGCGAGAACTGCGACCGTCGTTACCACCAAATGAAGAACCTCCGAAGACACGTGATTAACGAATGCGGTAAAGAACCCATGCACCAGTGCGCGTTCTGCCCTTACAGAGCTACCTACAGGTCGTATCTCCAAATGCACATGATGAAGCACGCCAGGCAAGGATTCGTGCCGCGAACAGCGACCGTCAGGCAACATAGGAATCCATGAAGGAACCGCGAGCACCTCGAGTATCTCTCATTCCAGTGATCGGTGATAATCGAAGCGTTAGACGAACGTAGACCGGCTTCGAGTGAAATTGTGTTACAAGTAGATTGGACGAGCCACCGATTCCGTTCCGTTATGGTCAACCAGGGATTTCACGCTCTTTGAATGATTTTCCTTGTAAAATAATCAGCGCTACGCCCGGGTTGACCAGCGAAGGGCTACATTGCCTGCAAAACACCTGTGAAACACGGAGTACCGTTTCTTCTTCTTTAAATTCCCGGGGTCTTCGACTCGGGGAGGAAGCACTCAGGAGCTTTCTCCCCAAGTCGACGACCCAATCGATCACAATCGTGCTTGCAAATCGGTGTCAACGGAGGAAGAAACGGACCCCGGGAACTTCGAGACACTATCTTCCAAACCAGTGACAGCGTTCGGTCGATAAACTTTACATTTCCGGTTGATCCTTCGTTTCTTTGCTTTAGCTTCTGCGCGTAGACTAAACGACACCAACGACGAGAACAAAAAAAAAAAAATAAAAAAAATAAATGGGGACAAGAGACGGAAAACGATCGTGTGCGTCGCTAAAGAATACTCGTGTTCAGCTTTGTGATCTTCGGCCAAGTCAGACCCCCCTCCCCCGAGAGTTTCACGCGGATCTAATAAAAAGTCTGTCATGTTCCATACTACGCGTCTATGTCTCTCCCCCGCACCATCAGTTCCCTCTTTTCCGTCAATTCGTCGGATCAGGATCGCCCGACCCGTTTTGGAAACGCGAGCTACGCACGGACGCCGGCTCCTCCCGCTAATCGTGACTGTCTGTGTCTGTTTCAGTGGAGTCCCAGTACCCCGCGATGTTGGTGTTTAAGCACACCTGTGCCACCTGCGGGAAAACGTACAAGCACAAACACCACCTGAAGAGGCACCACGACTTCGAGTGCGGTATCGATCCGAAATTCAAGTGCGCGTTCTGCCCACACAGGACCAGATACAAGGACAGCCTGATGAAGCACATCCTGGCGCGGCACCAGCATCTGCTGGACCAGAACTCACAGTACGTGCCGCAGCAGGTCGTCGACGTCCACGGCGAGATCACGGGGCCCATGTTCGCCTCCTATCACGATTTCACGCAGAACATGCAATAATCCTAATCGCTGTCTCCATGTTCGTGCATTGTTTTTTCTAACAAAGAGATATATGTACATGTATATTCTATATAACGGGGGCAGATTGTAAAAATAAAGCGTCCGGTACCCCGATCGATCGCGACGAACCATTCGAGACCATTGTACACGTGCAGGACATTATCATGTGACATTGTAAATAAAGATTCTATGTATTTTAACATCGCTCGGAATTTCCATCCGATTATAGCTATTTTTCAGATCGTTCTGCGTCTCTCGATCGCGTTGGATCTATTAACGCGCGACCCCGTCAGTTGTCCGGTGTACTAACTGCCGTTTCTTCCGTTTGTTCTTTTTCAGACGCGAGCTACAGCTCGTCGAACTGGACGGTGCCGACGTTGCCGTCCACGTCGAGCGTCGTCGCGTACACCAGGTATCTGCGATCGACGACCAAGGACGAGCAGAGGAAAGCCCACCGTTGGGGGCCCAGAAAGTATCACTGCTCGGATTGCAATCGAACGTTCTCGTTGATGGCCTCGTTGACTCGTCACCGGATGTTCGAGTGCAACAAGCGGCCCCAGGGGACCGGCGGGCCCCTCGACGACCCGTCGATCGAGAACAGAAAGGCGAAGAAGAAGAAATACGGTTGCCCGGACTGCAACCGCGTCTACGCGGCGTTCACGTCCCTCTGGAGGCACCGGAACTACGAGTGCGGCGTCGAACCCAGGTTCACCTGCACCATTTGCAAGAACAGGTTCTCGCAAAAGGCCAACCTCAATCGACACATGAGAACCATGCATTAGTTTCGCGGTTCATGGCTGGACGAAAGATCTCTGCGATGGGGAAGATATTTCTCCACCTTACGTGGACCCCTGTGGACCCGGTTTTTATTTCGATTATTTGTGATACTTCACCCTTGGCAAGATATAAACAGAAAACGTAGAATTAAAGCTTTGTTTAAAGAAAATAGACGGTTTGATTTGGAGCGTCTCGTCTGACCAATATGTGGTATTTCTACTTGCATCGGACTTCAAGAGCGTTGATCGTGGATTTTATTAAGTTTTATTACTATACTACTGTTGATCGTGGTATGGTTATATTTATTTTATAGTAATTTTATTGATTTTTATGTATTATAGCTTTGTTAATCGTTATATACGACAATTCAAGTAGTAATAACTAATAATGGCCAGACGCGACAGGGAATTCAAACTCGATTTTCTCTGAAACGAAGGCTCGCATTAAAAAATGTTATTCTACATTTTCGACGCACTCTAGCGAAAGGAATCACACCGTGTTTCGTTCAACTTCACAATTGCACTGTACCGATCGTATCGGCGAAAAAATGTGAGGCAAACGGGAGACCGCGAATGTTCTGTTGTCGAGTTGCAGCCTTTCAAAGTGGAATATCGTAATTCGAAGGTAAGTACAGAATAATAATAACATTAATAAGGATACCAACCTCGTTGAAAGGTTGTAACTTAACAACGCAGCATGCGCGAATCCGAGTTTACGTAACATTTCGTTCCCCGTCTTTTAAAGTTGAACGAGACTTTCCAGGAGCATAGTAAACATACTGGTGTATGTTGCATGAAACGTACGGGGTGATCACATGTTGTTCCAGTATTATTTAAGGTGATAAAGCGACTAGGTTAACGTTGAACTTGCAAAACCTACGACGCCAGTGACTTTAATTCGGCTATCTTGTCCGCTGTAGATAGTCTGAATAAAACGTTCCGAAAATACCTCTCCCAAAAAATGTGCATCCAAAGATAGTGTAATCGTATGGCTGAAATAAATTTGTTCGTTTCCCAAAGCTACGCTTTGACCATCGTGAACCGTGTGATTAATTACGCTAACTGCAATATCGATTCTTTTTCGCAGGTATTGTTCGCCGAGCGGAAAGCGTTGAAAGTTGAGAGTGAAATTAACCGTTTTACCTGTCTAGTGTCCGTGTTCCCGTAAACTGCGTAGGGTTACTGTACGCACGATCGACGCTCTAACACGTTATCCTGTTTATTTTCTAGGATTCAGGCGTACCCACGTGCTCAGGAGTCACGTCACGCGGATACATTCCGCGACGGAGACGGGCAGCGAGTGCCCCAGGTGCGGCAGAACGTACAAGATGAAGCGAAATTTGACGACACACATGAAATTTGAGTGCGGCGGGCAGAGAAACTTTACGTGTCACGTGTGCCCGGCGAAATACACGCAGAATATCGGACTGCGCCGACACCTGTTGCAAAGACACAACATTTATCTGCCACCAAAGTTCTCCGTGCCTAAACGAATTTTCTCCCACAGATTGAACGACCAGAAATCGAACACTTAAGATCGAGTCGTTCTCAGCAATAGCCCCTAACGAATCGTCGCTTCACGGACGAGGATCACTTGTCGCGAATTTTCTTAAAACGGTCAGGAAGAACCAAAATTGCGTTATAATTGTTATTGGAATAATGATTTTGACGCAGTATCGGTTCTGGCGATAATTAAAGTCTAGTTAAGCTTGCAATTATTTTTCGTTTTGTGACCTGAGTGGGTGTTGGAGTTAAAACCACTTCAATATGAAATTTTATTTTATAGTCTGATCATGGGACATTTCGAACTCATCTTCCGACAAACTGAAATCGATAGTACGTCGTAATTGTTTCCCAAATAACAGTTGCAACACTATTCCAGATTCTCGTAACTGTTTCAGGAAGAACAGATCTCTGAACGGACGTGTTCGATTTATCACTAGATAATTTTCGACTAATGCTTAGGGTAAATTGAACGAAACCAAAGGTAATTTTCCTAGGAAACGTTAGGTAGTTTTGTACAGGATGTAAGATTATTATTATACGAGGAACGCGGAATAAAAGGTGCACACGATTCTCCGACCTCTGTTTTCATTGTCCATTAATCGATTCCCCGACGTCGCGATGGCTGTTCTTTCTCACAGGATCCCAGATACCTGACGTTCTCGTTTTCATTGTTTTTTCCAGAGTCGTTAACCGCCGCGCGGGGCTCCAGAAACGGATGCTTCAGGAACACGGAAGCGTTCACCTGTCACCAGTGCGGCAGATCGTACCAAATGAGGCACAATCTGGTGAAACATTTGAGATTCGAGTGCGGGGGTCGTAAGCATTTTGCCTGTAGCTTATGCCCGGCGAGGTACACGCAGAACGGAAAGCTAAGGCAGCACATGCTGAACGCACACAACATCTTCGTGCCGCCGCGAAAAACGTGGACGAGGTCCACTTATGGTTAAACATACGATACACCCCTCCGAAATCATAATTCCTCATAGATGGGAACACGTTTCTGTACAAATAAGATAGAAATCGACGCTAGTCTATCTTTTCTTACAGTAGATCGAAGAGGTCGAGAACATTTTTATTCATGTAACGGCGAGCGACGGAGAAAAATAAAAAAAAAAAACGAACCCGTTTGCCGGAAGCCAGCAGTTTAATCCGACGCGTCCCATGCTCGTCTCTCGCGTGATCGATATCGAAACGTTCGCGGTAAGTATTTTGGAAGCCAGCCGAAACTGGAAGTCGATTCGGAAGATTCGTGGGTCGAACGGAAGTTTGAAGATTGGATCGTTGTAACCATGGTACCACGTTCTTTTTCAGATTTCCACGAGAGACAACGTTCGTCTTCCACGAAGAGAACGTCCGGACACCATCGAAGAGCCACGGATTCCAGCGTTCGTCTAGGCAGAGACTGGCGACGACAACGAAGATTTTCATCGAGCATCGAACGCTTTGAAAATCATTTGATTAGGAGATTAAGGAAACCCAACGAACAAAGAAGAACACACGCAACCCTTTAGCAAACGTCGAGAGTTTATGAAACACCACAATTTTGCTGCTCCTTTTGTTCCTTTCCTCTTCGTATAGAATTTAATAAATGATTATTTACAGCCCGTGTTCATTGTCGATTTATTTTTTACACGATGTGGGTTGGTAATCTGTGTCACAGTTTGTCTGTTCTTTGTAAGAGTCTACGAAATATGTTGTCTGTATCTAGTTAATGCGCACATATCGTAGAGAAAGCATTGCTAGGGGAGAATACGTTTTATTATAAATCCGAGTCACCACGGAAGAACACGACAAAACTCGCCACATTGCGAAAGTAAGTCTACGCTTTTTCATTTGTCCATGTAGGGATCACGATTACAGAATAGTACAAACGCTCGATCGACGAAAATTATTGTCAGTTTCGCGATACTTGTTCCCCAATTGATCCGACACTGGCAATTAATTTGGGGAAACGCGCGAAGTTTCCACCCGAGGACGGGACACACTCGTGACAGACACGTTCGAAAGAATCATCGGTTAGAAAAGCATCACAAATCAGAAAAAAAAAAAAAAAAAGAAATGAAATAATGCCTCGATATATCGATACATCGTCTCTTTCATTCCGTTCGATTGACCTGTTATCTGACAATGGGGTTTTGTTTTCGTTCGACAGGTTTCGCGAGGTCCCGGTTCACGTGTCAGAAGTGCGGCCGTGGGTACACGATGCTGTGCAATCTGAGGAGGCACATGAAATGGGAATGCGGAGGAAAACGTCAGTTTCCTTGTTACTACTGCAGCTACAGTTTTACTCAGAAGACAAGTCTGCAACGTCATCTGACTGCGATCCATAAAATCGACTTTGCCAATGGAATGGAGTCTAGTCTCATGTTATAGACTCGTTCGTGTCCCCTCCCCCCGATCCCTAACCCTTAACGAGAATTTTCCTCTCCGCTAACGTCAGGTCATCTTTATCCCCGTGCAAGGTCACTTGTCTCGCTTAGCTTCTCCTGGTAACGTCCCGTAATCGTGTATCGCTTTTGTAAATCCACCCGTCCCCCAGAATCCCCCAGAAATTGTACGTTCTCGATCTCCACGCAGTCTAACTTCCAGAATTACGTTTGTAGCAGGTTTACCGACGTCGACGGAGTGGAAAAGGTTGTGGTGACCTTGTAAAAAAGAGGGGGGTTCCGAAGGGCCCCAGTCGAGAATCGATTCAAATTAATCTGCGAACCGATGGGGTGAAGGGGCGGGAGAAATTGGGGGCGTCAATCGGTCAGATATCGTTCGAATTCGTGATTAACGCGACTGTGGTGTTGATGTTCTTTTAGGTCTCGACGAGCTGGCCATTCGTCGATCCGTGCATCGGAAATCGAGACACGCGAATTACTTGAGGGACGAAGACCTAGCGCTGAGATGCCCGCAGTGCGGACGAAGGTACAAGGTCCAGCACAGTCTCAACAAGCATCTAAAGTTCGAGTGCGGTGGCCGTAGGAACTTCGCCTGCGACTTCTGCGGGAACAGTTACACCCAAAACGTCAACCTCCGCCGTCACCTGATGCGGATCCACAATGTTTATTGCCCCCCGAGGAAGCAGTGCGTCCGGAAGATTCTCTGATCGGGTCTGCACGGAAGACAACGTCCACGTACGTCGCCGAAGATCGCGTCCACGAAGACACAGGCTCTCTTCCCCCGCCCCCGAAGATCGTCCATCGGACAACCGTCGCGAAGAACGTCCAGCAAGATTCCACGCCCGAAGAATTAGTTTGAACGCGCAATGGACATAGGAAAACGAAAAAAAAAAAACAAAAAAAGTGCATGAACTTTTATTAATTCGAGTTCCTCGGTCTTATACGGAGATTGTTGTAGATAGCTATTTAACTTTCACACGTTGTAAAGTCTTTGTCCCGGCGGAATGCGTGAAACGTAGCCGCTTACGATCATTAATAGCAATGTTATCGAAGTCTATCCTAAACTTGCCTCTTAGAACATCGACACGTAGTTAGATGTTTAAACTTCGACTGTGCCACTTACCGTCTAGCGAGAGTAATAAATATAACAATAAAGTTTTAAACTATTGACATCTAACGATACGGCGAAACCTGACAATCATCGCGTACCTTTCATACAAATACGATCGCTCGTCTTCCGTTGTCTGGATCAACAATATATATATATATATGTATAAATACGCACAAACACGTACAAGCACAGAACTCTTATACGATATATATTTTTTTTTCTTTTTTTTTGATAAATCGCTCATTTTCGAACCTGAGCGCGGACAAATATATTTATCATTTTCGTTGTACGGATTATCGGATACTCTTATTGCGACGCATTACTACGACGTCAGCTCATGTCGAAGATACTCATCCTGCGTATTGTTCCTATGTACACGTACGTATACAATAATTATTACTGACCGATCCCCTTCCCCGTGAAAATAATCATTTCTGAACCTTCGCGACGAGGATCAAACGAAACCATCGAGCTTCTGTTCTGCTCCATTCTGTTTTCTCTCGTTTCTTTCGAAATCATTCCGAGTATTTCCAACCGCTCGATGAAATATTTCTCTTTATTTTTCTTTACCTTTGATTTCCGCAAGTATACTATACATACATATATCGCCTCTCTGTCTATCACGTTTCTCTCCCTATTCGATCGATCTCCAACACGGTTTTCTCTCGAGCCTCGAACACTCTTTTCTCTTCCGCTAGACTCACGGTCCCCTTCCTCCCTCCCCCCTAACATATGAAATTTGTCTGCTTTATTTTGCAGACAACAAATCAGATTATCGGGCCATGTTTCTGAAGCCGTGCCTGCCGCCCACCGGTGTCCCCAACAACGCCACCGCCACCGCCACGTTCGATCCCGGCTTGGGCTGTTCCGCCGACCCGCGGTTGCTGTTTCAAGGCTCGTCCGCCTGGGTGCCGGAAACCGACAAGCCCTACATGTGCTCCAGCTGCGGCAAAGGTTACACCCACATATTCACCCTGAACCGTCACCGTCGCACCGTATGCGGTAAGATCAGGAACACCAACGGCAAGTGGAAGTGTCCCCGTTGCACCAGGTCCTACGTCACCGAGGGCAATCTCGTGCGTCACGTGAGGTTCGAGTGCGGGGTCCGGCGGAAGTTCTGCTGCATCTTCTGCAACCGGAAGTTCACCCAACGTTGCAGCCTGATACGACACCTGAGGAACTTCCACAACGAGAGCTTCGACAGCACCAACGGGGCCGGCGTTCCCCCGGAGTACCAACCGATGGACACCTGTCACGTGGAAGGAAAGAGCTCGGACGACTCCAGAGTATAAGCATTGAACGAGAATATCGTACATCGTTCCTCCGAGACGCGATATTTTTCATAATTCTCGCGCGACGGTAACAAACGCTCGCCGGGAGATCGTAGAACGGGTTCCTCGAACAAACGAAAAAAACGAAAAAAGAAAAAAAAAAAGAGAGAAATTCTTTCGGACGTAAAAGATTCAAGTTTCAAGTGTCACTTATGCGTATAAGAATTCACGTCGTGTTAAGTAGCGTTAGTTGTTAAGGGAAAATGATCGAAGGAACCGGTGGCCCCTGAGACCCGTACTGTAATTGATCCTCGAACAATATATACCGGGTGTACGCCTGCCTCGCGAATAGATTCGTTAATTGTTTCATGTTCGCGACGCGCGCAGGTGGCCTCGATTACGGCTGGAATTACGTATGGCCTTTTAAATCGATAAGTTCTTTTGACTATCAGAAAATTCACACGTATGTATATATAGATATCTATATATATGTATATAGGTTACACTTGGTACGTGTAAGATAAGAATTATAAAACGGCACCGAGAAGCACGTGGAAGCATTTGATCGCGGCTTCGCCGAGCGAACGATCCGTCGAGAATCAATTAGATAAGCGATTAAACGAAATTTCGCGACGATTATGTGCCCTTTTCTTGAGAAAGTGTCTTATAGTTGGGATCTTTGTACGTACATCGTTCGTCGGTGTATTCGAGTACACGAAGGATATATACGCTTTGTTGTTCGTTTTTCAAAATGATTTTTAAACTAAGGCTGATTATTCGATAGCGTATTGAATTTTTGATACAGGTTTTTCCTTGTCGTCGGATTTGTTATTGAATGCGCGCGCGTTGCGCAAAAAAACGGCGCCTTAAGTGCTTTTAGACTGCTTGTACGTTCCGTGAAACGAAACGCGAAGGATCGAGTCCCTTTAAACAGAGTGTGTCGTCGAGCTTGATACGCTTCGATGGGTGCTGCATATTTCTCAGCTATTCTCTGATTTGTTTTAATTTTATTATCGTTTACTTCTCTTTCTTTTTAATCGTTTTAATTTTTTAAGACTGCGTTTATTAGAGGGATTAGGTTTAAATATCTGCAATGGTGTACTTAAGGACTTTTACGACGACCCTTGTAGTATCGTTTCGATGAAGCCAGGATAAGAGTTGTATCGCTGTAGTCAAAACCTAACGACGACCGATTTTTCTCGTTAACTTGCGACTGATACTGTTGTTTGGGCTGTGAAAAACATTCGTCTCTCGTTCGTGTTCTTTCCTTTCTCGTTGATGATGCCGTAAGGTTAGCGTCCTAAATCGTATTGTTGTTGACGAGTCGAAAAAAGAAGAGAAACAATTTTATCGAACCGCGTCGCGCGGCGCGAGTCTCCATCGATGTCCATTTTATATATATTTTCGTTCTTTCTTCTTTCTTTTTCGCTCATCATGACTCGCGATACCGAACAGATACCGCCTAAGTGAAAAACTTTGTTGTTGTGCAAGGTGTTACATAAAAAAAAAAGGAGAAAAAAAAAACAATAAATGCATACGGTTTACGTATGTCGTGTGATGCTTTTACCTCGAAATTTCGAGCCGCGGAGTTTTCGTGCAAACTCTTTCCCTTTCATTTCTCCTTTTCGTACCGCCCCTCCAACGTCGATTTCTGTTTCTTTTTTGCCGTTTCAGCGACGCCGGATCGACGATTACACGTCCAAGAAAACACACGCTGTTTAGAACGTCCCCGATAATCAGGCCTCCCCTGTTTGTACGTTCGTTTCTTCGTTACATACGTCGAAAAGCTCCGTCACTCACGCACCATTCCGCTCCTGTTTCAGTCAAAGGCCAACTGTTTTGCGACCAACTGCCGCGCGACATTTGGAGACGTTGCAAGGACGAGCTTCTCTGTTTGAAGTGCGCCAAGAGGTACAGCGACTGGAGGAGCTTGCGCAAGCACATGAATTTTTTCTGTCAGATGGAGCCGCTCTATCCATGCCCGTATTGCACGCACAGAGCCAGGATACCAACGTTGCTCAAGTATCACGTCGTACGCGAACACACGGCCTTCACGTCCGCCGAGGAGATCTATTGATCGCGCCCCGAAATGTACGGATATCGCTTTTTTTTGTTAATCCGCGGTTGCGTCGACGGACGAAATCCTTTCGTTTACTCGCCGCTGTTCCCAGTGGACCAAATCTCTGTGCGTTTTGTCAGTAAGTTGTAGTCGGTAATATGAGTTGCAATAAATATCGTTCGCAAAAAAGTTCTTCCTGTGATTACGATGTCCTCGATAAATGTTCCTGTCATCGTTCATCTATTTAACACAGATCGATAACTATAAGGAAGGAACGAAAACTGACGGGGTGAGCGGTCGCGAACGAATACACGACTTCGATTTTTTAATCGTTCTCTCTCTGCTTGCTCCGAATAGATTTTTTTTATATCGTTATCGATCGATACGCGTTTCTACCAAACTAATGTTTCGAATGTTGTCGACGAGTGGGTACGGCGAACGTGTTTGCTTTTCTTTTTCAGAGGTATTTCGAACCCGTTCCGATGCACCGACTGGACTCGAGTTTTGGGTCGTCGAGGACACGTATTTTTCTAACGCGTGCGCTTCTGATTTTTAGGGATCAGCTTGTCAGGCCACCAGTTGGACGACACGATCTCGCCGGACCAGTTCGGGAAACCGATCTTTGTCTGCCCGAAATGCGGCAAGGGTTACACATGGAAGGCGAGCCTTCAGCGTCACCTGAGCACGGGCTGCGGACTTCCACCCATGTTCTGCTGCAACCTGTGCGACTACAGGACCAGCAGAAAGGACATTCTGTTCAGGCACATGAGACACGTGCACTCGCGACACCCAGCTTAGCATAACCTTTGTTCCGTCGGTGACGTTCTTTTAAAGTTGCCCGACCGACGACGCGTTTCCCGTCGAAGGGACGCCGTGCAAGCTTCAAAGAGACCACGACGGAAAAGGACTTTCAAAACACGACGACGCTAGGATCCCGGAGTTTTCTCAGTCGACGTCGAGAAACTTTCGATGTAACTTTTTCTAAGATAGATAAACCGCGAGACGCATAGTTCCTTTTGCTTTCGAGGATCCGAAGGCGACAGAGAAATAGATAGAAGTAAGGGTTAAGAATAATACATGTCTTTGGTTTCAGGAGACCCGAATTTCCAGACAAAATTCAAACATTCGAACGCGCACGAATCGGGACGATTTATTTGAAATTTCTTCCATTTTCACCTCTTCGTTGTATCAACGCGTACTTTTACGTCTATTTAATTTTAAGGCTTCCCGTACTTCGTCGCGCAGAGTCATTGTTTTCGAGACCAGACAATATCCACGTTATTTCTTCAATTTTACGACGAAATAATCGTCCTTCCGTGCCCCTATCTCGAAAATGGCGCTCGAGCTACGAAGATTTATATGTGCTTCTCGATCAATACAATAAAATGTACGTTACGTAAACCATATACGATTGCATTTGATATTGCGACGGCATACGTGTGTTTCGACTCCCTCCGAGTATCGTCGCGTAGGTTTTCGTTCGACCACGGGAGGCGAACGAAGTGTCTTGTCTTGTCTCGTATCCGCGAGCTCTGCTTCATCGGTGTCTGTTTCGATTTGTTTCAGATGTGTGGAACGTGCAGGGTTACGTGGACGGCTACAGCCCGGTCGACGGTCTTCTGCACCCGGAACTGGACAAGTTCAAGATCCCAGACGCGGCGGCCACCGCGGATCAGTCCATTCCCAGCTATCAGATCGTGCACAAACGTCACATGTGCGGTTTCTGCAAGAAAGTCTTCCCTTTGAAGAACCTGCTCAGGCGGCACGTGCAGTTCGGCTGCAAGATGAACCCTAGAAACTCTCAGTTCGCCTGCTCGTTTTGCCCATACAAGAGCACCTACAAGGCGAACATGGAGAGGCACGTTCGAAACGTTCACGAGACAGGCACGCTAAAGTTCCGCTGCGATCTTTGTAACTTCCGCAGCAATTATTCGTTTTGCGTGCGGAGGCACATGAAGACTTTCCATCGCGCTCCGGACGCGGGCGAAACGAAACAGTAGGCCAACGTCTTCTCAAAGGGGGTTGCTTTAGGACGACAGAACGGAAATTAAGACAGACTTTGGACGTTTTGCGATTTCTCCAGCAGTATAACACGGATATATCCGTCTCAAGACAATAACAGCGACGAAATATAATCATTGTTTTCCTCTTCCAATGCCTGCAGCTTCGAGGTGGTTGCTAATGTACATAGTTATAAAATATAAGTCCAAACTCTGTTTTATTTTTCGCTCGATTTCCCTGGCGCAACTTGGACGTTCTGCTGTGATCGAATAACGAGTGTTTCTGTACAATAAAATGGCCGCAGTGTAATCCCAACGGCGAGAACTGAACAAAAAAACCCATCAGAGATTATACATATACATAATACGTGTAGTGTAGAATTTATTCGTAAAGTATCGAAGGAGACGAGAAGGTATAGGTGTCCTTGCGATGTATGTACGTGCATCTTCCGCAGAGTTTTGTGATTCCGTGACGAATTCAGTATTATATTCGGAACACGCTTTTTTATCCATGCAGGCATTATTTTTCTAGCTTTTTATTCAGTTTACACCGTGATCGAAAGTCCCCGAAATTAACGAATCGTTACCGTCTGTTCGTTACTAATTTTTTTTTTTATAACGTTTGCGATCGATGTTCGAATGTGCTTCGTCACACGACGAAGGGATAAAACGGCGAGAAAAAGTGGAATATTAGAATTAAGTCCCCATCCCCGATAGAGCAAACATTTAATTAACCGCGAGACCATTTGTATGTATTTTATAACAATTACTTCGCAGTGTATACACGTTGGTAGTAAACGAATATTGTAGACACCATTTTATCGAAATGAATTAAAGCACTCAGGTTGTTTGTAAATCGTTCGTGAATGTAATAAAACATTCGATACGTTTGACTAGGACACTACGAGCGTGTGTGTTGACCGATAACGTCGATCAAACGTCCCTTTTCCCACGAACACGCAAAGATCGAGGAGTTTTCTTTTCAGGCAACGTTCGTCACGGGAGCGTCCACGTCGAAAAGAAAGGTAATTTCTCGAGAAAAAAAACGCCCCAAATATGTTACTTGTGCCCATGTGT